CCTGTATTTTAGAAAAAGAAAATGATGTAGAGAACAATCCAGAATATTTATTTATTTCAGGTTAAAAAAAAGAAAATAAAAAGACAAACATTGAGTTCAGTTTTAACATCACTTCATGCCTTTGTTCTCTTTAACAGTAAATCTATGTTTCACTGCTTGGAGATTATTTTGTACATGTTATCAGGTTGGTTCATTGACTACCTTTGACTCAATAAAAACCTTTTATATTATAATTATTCCAATCCAGAGCTGCTGGTCAACATTGTGAAGTGTTTAAATCACATATCATACAAAAGATATGCTAAGGAGTATTGAACGTGTTATCTTCCACATGGAGCAAAAAAATCACATACAAAAGAAAATTCAGCATTGTGTCTAGGTCTATAAATGCCCAGAAGTCTTTAAAAGCTTTCCTAATTTGTCCCCATCTCGTTCTGTCACAGACACATTTCTACCCAAGAGAAGACACTAATTTTTGAGCATTCTGTATAAGTGATTCCCAATGTTCATCAGGCACAAGGAAGCTAAGCAGTAATCCATACGTCTTGCTTCCAAGAACGCTTAAAAACAATAAACCCCAGAAACTACAAAACTTGCCAATATTATCCTTCGGAGACTATGATACAAGATGAAAGCCAAGGTCTTTAAGCAGCTGCAAAAATACACTTTCTTTGCCTAAATATAGATCAAACCTGAGTATTTAAAAAATTCTAAAAAATCTCAGGTTTGGTTTATTTCATAAGGAATATTTTGATAGCAACCTTACTGCACTCTCCCTAGTGCTGCCTCAAAGCCCTGTTAACCTGTGCACCCCAGAGAAAAGGTGCTTTTTTTTTTCCCTTCTCATTTTTCTTCTTCCTCCCTCTTCTTCCTAGTGTTCTGCCTCCCATCACACAATCACAACTCTTTATATAGGCAGTGCCAGTCCCTGCTTCCACGTAATTCCTACAGGCACCCTGGAGAAATAACTTCCAAACAACAACCTTACAGAGAGGAAAGGCTACCCCCCTCTGATAATCTGGCTCTTTTCAGGTCAATCAGTTCTTCAGTGCCTTGCAGGGGTTTACCAGGAATGAGACAAGTGCCTCACACTGAGAATTATCAGCAGCCAGCCCTCAATTCCATTGTAAAACACATTACAGCTTTTCAAAGCAATGCTAAAAGTACAGAAAAGCTCTCTCCTATAATTTTTGTACTAAGCATTAAGTAAAAAGTGCTAAACACCAACATGGTAAAAAGGTAATTAACATGCTATCACCTATGAGAATGGGATAAGAATTGCTCATGGCAGCTTTTGCAGTGTGCACCTACACAATTCGTTTTTAAGGAAAATTTTGGTTTCTTTTTTGATCTGCCTTTTGAAGTGTTAGTAGAAAGGTGAGAACAGAAGTGAACTAGTCACACTAAAGCTCTGAGCGGGGCAGAACATATGAGGCCACTTTAAGTACAAGATAAATAGACTGAGCTGAACATCAGCCAGTTCAAATAATTCACAAAACCCACTCATCTGCTTGCAAAACAGAATCTTTCCTCAGTTCCTCTAGGACATTTTCAGCTTGATTTTTCGCTTTACCTGCTCTTGACATATCATAGAATGAATGGTTTGGGTTGGAAGGGACCTTAAAGGTCATCTAGTTCCAACCCCTCTGCCATAGGCAGGGACACCTTCCACTAGACCAGGTTGCTCAAAGCCCCATCCAGCCTGGCCTTGAACACTTCCAGGGATGGGGCATCCACAACTTCTCTGGGCAACCTGTTCCAGTGCCTCACCACCCTCAGAGTGAAAAAGTATAAACACTACTAAACAGCAGATTCCTTCCCAGATGCTGAAGAAGATTTAATCAGCAACATGTACAGCTTGGATTGTTACCTTAATTTTCATCTTGTTCTCCCATACCTTTCCTACCTCATATCCATCCAACTTCTCTCTTTTTCTCTCCTAAAAGCCTTTTATTCTTCACTGTCTATCTTGATAGAAGGCCACAAAGGGGAATAAATTTTACACCTACTCTGTATGTAACCCTTTTCCCCTAAAGTTAAGTTTTTCTGAACGCAGAATCCAGAGAGCATGCGTCCCTTGTTAGACTGACTTGGATTCCCTCTACTAGAAGTAAAAAAGTGTTATGCTTCATTTACACCTTCAGCTACATTTCACATCCTTACAAAATTGAATTTAAGCCAGGATTCCATTTCAAGACAATTAGTAAAATAGCCATTTAAAATGCCTAACATTACAGGTGAAAGTATCTTGTGGGGAAAGTCAATCCCAATGAAAATGAGATATCATGGATTAAAAAAAAAAGGCACACCTGACAAATCAGAAAGCATACCATAAACACATTATCAAGGACCTCTTCAAAAACTGGAGCTCAATTAGTTAACAACAGAGCTTCTTTAGGTTTTCAGAAAAGAAACCACCTTCTAAGTACATAAATCCTTGTAACTAGAGTCCAAGAAACAGGTACCTATACATCAAACTTCTAAGCAGTAACAATGCCTAGAAAGCATTCTCTGCTTGCCAGGGCGAATACTTCCTATTAGCTTCCCTCTTGCCAATGCACATGAACCACACTTTTCATTTCAGATGATTTGGATATTGTGGTTGTTTCAAGTAATTTTGAACAAAAATAAAGCAGCACTGTTGCCGAAAGAAGCAATACTATTCTTCCTTGTTTGCAGCTACTTGTGCCATCCCCTTTCTTGTGCTGATATGAACATCTGTTACACGTTCAGATAAAAACAGTTTTTATTTGAAATTATTTGTAACTACTTTTTTTCTTCCTGGCAAGAGGGATGACAAGCAGACGAAATATAGGACAGGACTACTATTTTACTTGGCATTGACAGTTTAAAGTGACATTAAAACTATACTGTAAGGTAAACCCTGATGATACCATGCCAAAGTTATTACTTAACATATCACTCTTCAAATGTATTTGTAAGTAAGTGTTCATGAGTTTCTTATAAGTGCTTGGTAAGAACAGTGAGTACACACATTACACAATGTTTTTGTGGTAAGCATACCATTGAAATCTTGTGACCTTCATGAACACATACTTTTGACAATGTTTTCTGCAGAAGCTGTTAAAGTCTTCTAACATTACAGAGCTGCTTCTCCTCTTGCAGATCAAAGCAAGTAAGAGCTTCCTTGTATGAAGACTTCCTAAATTTTCAAGGCCTCATTTATCTAGTAATTTTCCCTAATTTTTAAAAATGGCCATATATAAGGAAAAAACTAAGCTATACCCAAGGTATTCCATGTACATAACTGTGAAACCTAAGATTTCAGTACTTACAAAATAAATTGTCATAAGAATATAATATATTTAATACTTTATATCATGCTTTCAGCTTCAATACTTAATACTTTCCCCTTAGAACATTTATCCTTTGATTATATTCAAGTGTTGGAATCACTTGGATGCCCCAGAGCCAGATGAAATCTTAATGTGGATGGTTGGAGGGGCGGGGGGGGGCAGCTGGAAAGAGGTAAGTACAAAGCAGAGCTGCTGTCATTACTTCTGAAACATGCTTGAAAACATGAAGGATGGTAAGATGATATTGACACTGCAACTTTTTTGTCCCTTCCTCAGCAAATCTGTCCTTTCTGTCACACACAGTACTTCTGACTGAAAGTTCCTATGTACTGCAGCAGAAAACACTTTAACAACCTAGCCAGTTCAAAATTTGTGTTGTTCTTATTGTTGCAGCAGAACAGCAACCAAATGTGATTCAGAGTCCAATTTCCATTATTACTGAGCCTCTTCCCTTTACATTTCAGTTATATACTTACATCAAAATCATTATTCTAGAGCAAGCTCCAAGTCCAAACTATGACATTGTTTAATTTGCATATGAGCTAAGTGAAAAACATTTTGATAAAAGTCTAATGAGTTCAGAAAGTGGTAACTGACCATAAACTGGAAAAAAGTTTAAAGAGCAAATGGCTGTAGCCACTCTACAATTTGCAGATTTACTACAGACATCTGGTTTCTAAACAACACTTACAAGAAAACTGAACCAAATAGGTCCACTGTTTACCCCTGACATTACTCTAGTTGACAGTGCTATCTAAAAAAAGGTAGTAATGAAAATGAAAGAGAAATGTAAATCTAAATATATTCCCAATAGATTTTATTGCTACATACTTTTTAAAGACTCAAAAAAAGCTACTTTGTAAACTTTAAAGTTGGTCATCTGGCTCCCATTAGTACTGACTGCCAAAAATACATAATAAGAAAAAGGATGGGGGAGGAAGAAATGCATTAGAAATCCAGAAAACTGCTGCTTGTAATTCAGATGAAAATTCTACACCTGGACAGTGTTTACTAAGTTATCTATAGAACTGACACAGAACTTTACTCAAAACAAGTATTTACTGTGAAACCAATTTTTCAATAAATTCCCTAACAAGTCATTCAGTGAAGCATTCAGACATGAATTATTTGTCTGAAAATCTCAACACACACTTCTAAAAAGTATTTTTTGTTTCCAGAACTCTTCAGACTTAAAAGTTTCCATTTCGTACTTCAGTGAAACTTCTCTAAACATATACAACTCGTAATGAAACATTTTATTACTCATAAAATGTGACTAATATGGTATACGTATGTTTTGGCTCTACGTCTGTCTCAGTCAGAAAGCAGCTGCTTTGTCTCTTAGCTAAACCATTAAACAAAATGGATAACACATGCCTTGTGGTAGACCTCTAGTTTGCACAATTAATATTTGATTTACAGAAAAAGCCTTAGCAATTAAAAAGAGTAAATCACCACAAAGCAGAAGGCTACCATTTTAACAAGTAATAACAAAAGTAGGATGAGCTAGACAGACTTAACAAACATTACTCAAAGTACAACCCCCTGCTCCAGGATATTACCTCCTTACCCTAGGGAAACCCCATGGAAAGCACTTTTAAGACTGTCAAACTTTGAAAGAGTATTCATTTCAGCAATTTGGATGTAATTCATAACTTAACCTAAAGTGGACCAATAAAAGAGTAAGCATATAGATAAGAACATCTGGTTTTATGACAGTCACAGAAGAACTTTGAATCTGCTAAAACGGTAGGTGGACTTTTTTCCTATATTAACCTAAAGCTTAAATAAAACAATTACAGTAAACAGGAAAAAAAAGATGTGTAAAGATTTATTTTAAAAATTGCTATGTCTGTATTTAAAATGCTTTAAAGATTATGTTTGTAACCTCCTCCCCCTGCCTGAAAAGTGTACAACCTGTAAAAATTCAGGGGGTATTAAGTTATCTGCTCTTGTTTACTTTCAAATGTAAAGACAAAGACAATGAGAGATTATTGTTATAGAGCATTTAGATTTGAAAAATCATTGTTCTGACAACCGAGAAAAATGCCTTTGAACCGCT